CTATCTAACAAAATAATGAAATAAATTCACCTTTCGTAACTTCCTTCTAAAATCCTTCGGTAATTTTAAAGAATGATATATCTGAAACCTTTTTTGGGTAATTGGCATCCATCCACGCAACAATTATAGTAGGAGCGACTTTTTCCCATTACAAATTATCAAATAGGTAAAATAATGTAAATAACACTAAACAAAGACATTTTCAACAAGTATTTACAAAAAACTAATTACGTAAACACTGTAAAAAAACCAAACAAACATTCAATCGCCTACAACGCGCTAGCCCCGACTGCGTATGTCCCTGGGGGCCTAGCGATTGTAGGTAATTATTTCACGCAGATAGCAAGAGTGACAGAGGGCTGGTAACAGTTAGTTCAGTATCTTTTTTCTTCAAGATTAAAACACAACCTACATAAATACAGCCCACTAAGCTCTCATTCATTACACAATAGCAGGGACTTAGAACGTTATAAATATCAGAATTTTTAACGTTATGATAACTAAAATGACAGGCTTGCTGAAGTAACAATACCATTATGGTATCGTTGCTTCAGCAAGCCTGTCATTTTCGATATTTTAGTATAACGTTTTAAGAGTAACAGAACGAAATTGAGCCAGTCAAGTTAACGTTATTATAACGATAAATACGCGACGTTGCCAAACCTAATCATTTTCAAAAGCGCGCGAATCTGCCGACTAACGAAATGGGTAGGGAGCTCGGTCGGACGGGACGGGGAATTTCCCGCACCTCACGCTCTCCAAAAGCGAACTGGCAACGTTGTAAAATGAATGAACATTTGCATATTATAACAAATATCAACCACTTGCGAGTTGCGATTTGCGATTGCGACGTATTGATAATTATATCTAGATAAATATTATATTACTTAGATTGATTTATTTTTTAAATTTGGTTCTAAGTACACTTAGTTAGTAACTATATATATATATATATATATATATATATATATATATATATATATATATATATATATATATATATATATATATATAAAGTAAAGTAAAGTAAAGTTACAGCCTATATACGTCCCACTGCTGGGCTCAGGCCTCCCCTCATTTCTGAGAGGGTTTAGAGCAAGGAAGTGTCCGCCGCGCTGCCCAAATGCGTGTTGACGAACTTCACGTGTCTTCGAAATATTTTTTTTTCTTATTTCTCAGACATGTAGGTTTCCTCACGATGTTTTCCTTCACCGCCGAGCACGTGGTAAATCAGCACTTAAAATTGCAATTAACAATTTCATTGGTGCCGGCGGGGATCGAACCCGGGTTACTCGCGTTCTGTTATATTTACAGCGAGCGTTAACCACTGAGCTACCACGGCTTTTATATATAATATATATATATATATAAATATATATATACATATATATATATATTGGAAATGGACCGTAAAATAATTAATAAATGTTATAGATATTTTAGTCTTGACGAAAATAATAAGACTTCGAAATGTTTAGTTGCTGGATGCGAAAAAGTTTTAAAGGTAAGTCAAAGCAGAAGTCGTAGATAGTAGATAGTAATGCGCCTTTTCTTTTCCAGTCAGTTTTTATTAAGAAAAATAATGGAGGTTTCTCACTTATCCAGGTCCCACTTAACCAGGTTTCACTGTACATGGACAAACATGCATACAGACATTCATACATACTTAATACATTCAAATTTTACACATGTGTTTAAAACCCATATATACTAACATATTATTCGAATATTATGCAATTCCAACAATATTACAAACATACAGGTCGAATTTATATCTTATTTTTTTGAAGTCAGCTGAAATGTTTAATGGTGACAGTTTATGTTATTAAATACAACTATTAGTTCCATTAAAATTTTAGTCACCCGCATAGTAATTTCCTTTCATATTTGAAATTATTTCTTTACAGACCCTACATGGTGCAAATCTTTTAAAGCATTTAAGCAAATACCATGAAAATGAGCACAAGGAAGTATTAATACTGAATAGAGAAAGTGACAGTTTGGCTAAAAACCCAACATTAAGTACGCAGGATACATTACTTCAGGAGTGTACAAATTTAGTTACTGTTCACGGACGTCCATTGACTTTAATCGATGATCAGGCTTTTCAAAATATTATATCTCTGATACCAAACATTAACTTGGCGATTAACTTTAAAAATGTACGATGTACTCCAAAGACTATATAACCACTTGACTGCGCATACAATGCACCGACGCTCGAAAACTATTGGTATTTTGTCGCCTATGCATCGGCTATGGTACTATTAACCATTTTAGTATTGTCCAAGTGTTAGACCTGTGTGCACGCTAAATTAATGCAAATTTTTATAACTTTTATGCAATTATAATGCAACAAAATGCCTTCATGCGCGGTGAAGTGGTGTGGGAAACATTCCAGGACAGATTTCCAAAAAGAATGGATTAACTTTTCATTGCTAAGTTTACTTATATATTTTTTAAAATATGAAAATTATTGTTGATTAATTCAGATTATGAGCCACCGCAGGGGTCTATCTAAAACGGTGGCCGGGTAAATAACGACGTGGTCGTGAGTCGCGCGTTGATGATTAGACAATTCTAATGCTTCTATCCCTTTCTTTCCCTTTGTACGTTTATCGTAAACATTGGTACTTACTGTTACCTTTAACAGCTAAAAGTCGATATCGAAAATAATAAAACTAAAATTAATAAAAAGATTGTTAATTCACACACTGTGAAAAAATACTTATCTAATTTTAACCGTCTTCAGAAAAAAGAGGAGGTTTTCAGTTTGTCGGCATTTTTCCTAGTTAAAGTTTATAGTTACCTAGTTAAATTACTGTCAATATATTACTGTACACTCCTCGACATTTTATGATAAATCTTTTGCTGTTCTTGGAGTAAGACTCTGGAACTCCTTACCTAAGTCCATTAAAAGTGCTCAATCTTTAAATGTGTTCAAGAAACAAATTAAGGAACACTATTTGTCTCATTACCTCCTCTCTCTTCCTCCTCTTAGTTATGGTCACTAATATACCTTAAGTACTCGTATGTTGTCATTTTATAGTATATAAGTTGTATTTTATTTTGTCTAATTTAGTGCCCCTATCCGTTAATCTTCTTTTTATTTTTATTAATTTCCTCTTCTGGGTTGTCTGGAAGAGATTGCTATGTAGCAATAAGACCTGCTTTTGTTTTTCCCTCATTGTTTGTTCATTATTTGTTATATTTATGTTTTGTTGGTGTACAATAAAGAGTATTGTGTTATATTGTATTGTTAAATTAGTTAGATTGGTGTACCAAATCAGAACGGCTTACAATTTCAAAAGGACACTAAAGACAAGTTATTGTACGGATCTACTACAATAATAGATATTTGTCGTCGTTGTAAAAATTTTAATAAGAGGGCGATCAATGAGAGTGGTTCAAAAGTGCTGTCTTCAAAATATAATACCAATTATTATATGAGAATGGTTTTAAAATCTCTGATCATACCTGATCAGAGATTTTAAAACCGTTCTCATTGATTCTCGGATATTCATTTTCATCAATTTGAAATAGAATCAACAAATTATTTAATTGAATTAGCAAGATGCATAATTTACAAATATGTAGACGCTTGTTTATATTTTTTTACAAAAAACAATCAGGACCCCTGAAGTTTTATTCGAAATAAATATAACAAATTAATTCATTTCAAAAATCAATAATAATAAAATAAATACAGGTAGTGTGACCGAAGTAGGCCCGGCTCCTATTATGGCCCACTTTTAAAATATAACAGTTTTGGTTGTCAAAACCATTTAAAATTTCGCGGTCAATATGCGACGGCAGCCAAAGACAAAATTGCAACTACGTCCGACTGTCAGCGCGCCGCCATTTTGAGTGTGACAAAAAGTTTGCTCAGTAGCGTCAAAGCGCTGTACGTTTTCTAACATCCGAAGAGTAGTTTTTTTCAAAGGTTATCAAAAATAAGAGGTTTAACTTTGTGTTAACGTGATAAACTTCACAATTAACTTGTTTGCCATCAAATAAAAGGTAAGTTTTATTGCTTTATAACTTTTCTAGTATTTTATTGCAATTGTATTGAACTGGGGTAATGTTTCCTATGAAAGCCCACTAAATGTGTACCAAACATGGCCCGGGCCTACTTAAGACTATTAAAAGTATATTATTAGTTTTGTTTCTAATTAATAGTGTTTTAAGTATTATAGATATTATTTATATACTAAATTGTTGGTAATTTAAATATAACATTGGTTAGAAATTAACTGGTTTGGTAAGAATTTTGATATTAAATATTTTCTACGAGGCCTACGACATAAAGTGGACGGCATGAGGCTGATGCTTTTCTAATACTTATTTTTTTTTTATTAAATGCAATTATCAAATGTTTACAAAAGTCAAAAGAATTTATAATATTATCATTAAGGTAGATTACATAAATAATATTCAATTCTAAAGTTTTTTTTTTACATACGTATACATGGAGTCACAAAACAAAAAACAGCGTGGGGGGGAAGTGGACAGAAAATCAACTAAAAGCGGCCCTTGAAGTGGTACAAAAAGGAAAGATGTCACAACGAAAAGCAGCTGCAACGTTTAACGTACCAAGGCGTACATTACGAAATCATATTAAATCTGTATCTACAAAAAAGATAATTGGTCGCACTCTAGTTCTTAATAAAACACAAGAAAAAGATTTGTGTAAAAGGGTGATTAGACTTGCTCAGGTCGGTCGGCTTTTGACTTCCAAAATAGTTCGTAAACAAGCTTATGAATTTTGTAAGGCAAATAGTATACCGAATTCTTTTAATGATAATAAAAATATAGCTGGAAAAAAATGGTTGAAAAATTTTGTCAAACGAAATCCAGAAATTTCGCTTCGCAGGGCTCAACTAATGAATCCGACAAGAGCACAGAAACTTAATAAGTATATTGTGCAACAACATTTTAATGCCATTAAAACCATTTATGAAGATCTGAATATTTGTAATCATCCGGAGCGTCTTTATAAAATGGACGAAAAGGGGTGCAGATTAACAATCCACCACCAACACAAAGTATTTGCTGCCAAAGGGACCAAACGGGTGCACTTCGTTGCCCAAGAACACGCAGAAAATGTAACAATTGCTATGTGCGTGAATACAACAGGAAATAGTGTACCACCAATGGTTATTTTTAAAGGCAAAAGATTGCGACCAGAATTTTGCGATAATATGCCTCCCGGAACTTTAGTAAAGATGGGCACGAAGGGAAGCATGACGACCGAACTATTTGTTGAACTTATTAACCACCTGGGTCAATTTAAATCTCAGGGAAAATGTTTGTTAATTTTTGACGGGGCCTCTTCCCATTTGGATGCTCGAATCGTAGATGCTGCTGATGCTCATGACATTGTGCTTTATTGTTTACCATCCAATACTACACATGAACTACAATCCCTTGATAAATCAGTTAATAAATCTTACGAACATTTCTGGGACGAAGAAGTTTTACTGTGTGCATATCAGCATCCAGGTAGAAAACTTACGAAAACGCGTTTTAGCAAAATTTTTACGAAGGTTTGTTCCAAGTGTACAACCAAAGAAAATATAATTAATGGGTTCCGTGCGACCGGGCTTTTTCCGTATGATCCAAATGCAATTCCTGAAGAAGCGTATGCAACTTCAGCGCTAACGCAATTGCCCAATCCACGTGATATAGAACAAAATGTTTCAAGTGTAAATGATTCCACATCTGATATTATGTCAGCATCACGGACTTCTATTATTCGAAGTTCTCTTTTATCCCCAAGACGTGATAATATGTCTGATACAAATGTCACTGATTGTGAAGAAAATCTTAAAAATTTATCACCATCGATTCTAACTACAAATGCTGCTAATGAATGGACAGGCGTCATAGAACAAAGAAATGTACAAAATCCGCAATCTTCAAATATAATTACAAAGCTAGTTGATTACAGTTCTTCTTTAGAATCCAATATGGACTTGCAAGAACAACTTCAAATGCAACCTTTTCTAAACATAAATTTTAGATATTCTTCACCTGTTCCAACTACTTCCGGAACTAGTAATATACAGCCTCGTTCGAGGTTGAATTCTATTACATCTGATAGTTCTGAAGAAGAAGGCATTACTATTTTTTTAAAGAATTTTCAATATCCCTCAAAACTCATTGATATTTACACTTCATCTTCCGATTCAAACGAAGAAAACTTAAACCCAAACTTCACAGAACTTTTACCAATCTCTGAGCAAATGCAGATTCAATCTGAGGATTCGGAAGATAATTTACCGCTATTAAAATTAAAGAACGTTCCTGAACCTTTAGCCTCTAAATCACCGTTCCATAAGCAAATTCCAACACCAAATTTTGGAAAAATCAAAGATAAACCTAGACGAAAGGCGCTTAATTATATAGGTCAGAAAATTACTAAAGATTTATTTGATATTGCTAAAGAGAAGACAAAGAAAAACACTAAAAAACAACTTAAGAATAAACAAAAAAAGATGGAGCACGACTGAGTTGCACGGATAGAGGTAAAAATTGTAATCAAAATAGAAAAAATGCTAAATTATCTGGAAGGATAACTAAGACAAAACCACAGATGAAGGGTAAAAATGTTGAAAAAAATGGTAAGAAGATCTCCAAATCACCTGACAATGTCGGTTGGTATTGTCGTGGATGTGAGATAGACAAAGTAGCTACTATGCGCCAATGTCAAGAATGTAAAAAGTGGTATCACGAGGAATGTGTCGGATTAACTTTAGAAGATAAACAATTCGTGTGTCCGGAGTGTAACTAAACATCTCACTATGCATCTAAAATTGAATTAAAAAAGATATCATAAGTTCCTAAACTTGTTTGTTGATTTTTCTAGAGTTTCGTTTGATGTTTTTATAAAGAAATATTAATTTTGTTTATTTAAGTGTTTATAATAAAGGGAAGAGTGTCCCATTAGTTTATCCATAAACAAAGTAAATTCAAGTTTATTTTCAATACCCCTAACAAGGCCCAGGTAAAAGTTTGCTCAAAAATCGATCACAGAATAAAGAACTTATTGCTTATTATTTGGTTACCAACTATTATACTAAATCTCTGCATGTGTAATATACTTCAATTTAGAAAGAAATTTTCGTTTTATTACAATTTTAAGTTTCGATAGATTTAAGATGGCCCATAGCCAAATTTTGGATAATGTATTAGACTTTGTTGATTAATTTTAATTGAAACCTGTATATCCAGACCAGTATTGGAAGAAAAATTTATTTAAATATAGGTTAAGCGTAGATTTACATTAATATATTACGGGCCTTATTCGGTGACCACCTTCCTAAGATGGCCCACTACTCAGGTTTTAAAAATAGTCTTTCTTTCTATCAACATGCAAAATAACAACGCAAATTTTTGAATTTTGTATTTTTCAATAAAAAAACTTACTATCTAATGAAGTTTTTTCTCTTTATATCTTCATTGTCAATTTCACAAGGTTTTGAAATTAAGTGGGCCTTAATGGGTGCCAGTACCTCATATTTTAGTCGTAACTGATTGTTTTGATTAAATATTATTTCTATGATTTTAATCAAAACAATCAGTTTTTCCTCCGAACATACCATGCAGATCCCTTGTTAAAAATCTTCTTGCCTTTCCCGTCTTTAATTCCGGTTTTTACTCCCACTCCCTTTCGAACTGAACGCGGTAAGATTATGGAACTCACTACCGTGAAATATAAGAAATTCCGAAACTTTGTTGGTATTCAAGAAACGTCTTAGAGATAACTACTTTGCATCCTGTTAATTTATATGTATATGTGTATATGTATGTATGTATATGTATATGTGTATGTGTATACAATATATATATATGTATATATATGTATATATATGTATATGTATATATATATATATATATATATACATAATTCTATGTATATAAGTTTTATTTATATATATCATACGTAACTATCGTATTTATTATTATTATTATTATTATTTATTGATTTATTTTATTTTTATTTTATATAATTTACGTAACATTGTGTATATTATTTATTTTTTAGTAGTACTAATGTATGCACTAAGTTTGCAATTTAAATATACATAATTTCCTTTATGGGTCTACTGGAAGATATTTCAGCGAATTTGGAATAAGTAGAACCTTTGTACGTAATTACTATAAGACTGCTTCTGTACCTTAATGTGTGTACATAAATAAATTTAATTGAGTATTTTTCATAATGATAAAATCCATTTTATCGATAACGAATATTTTCCTTTATTAAGAAGAGCAACCCTAAAGATAGCCATAATAACGCAACTTGACCATTTGCAGCCACGCGTTCTTCCTCGCCCCCCGGCCCGCAGTAGTGAGTCGTGTGCTTAGAAGAAATCTGCCTATACGCTCTCTAGTGGTTATATTCTCTATGATGTACTCTCAAAGATACTGCTGACCATTTACGTTCAAATTTAGCCAATGAGTTGCGTAATTTACATATATGCCTCAAAGTGGATGTAGCCTCCTTGTCGAATCGTAGTTTTATGGGAGTCAATGCTCAATATGTTAAGGATGCACAAATTGTTCTTAGAAATCTTGCGGTAATTGAACTGTTTAAACGACATACATCTGAACATTTAAAGGAAAGATTAATTTTCATTTTGCGGCGTTTTAGAATCCAGAACAAGCAGGTTTATTGTATAACTACAGATAATGGTGCAAACATACTAAAAATGAGTAGATTATTTGCGGCCGAAGCTATTCATATTGAAAATAACAACGAAAATAATAATCCTGAAGAAGGCGATCGATTCAATAGCAGTTCTAGTCAGTTAGATGATATCACACATTCTGATTCTGAATCGGACGCAGATAATGTCGATCATGAAACAGAAAATTATTTTAATGACCAAATAAGGCAATCTATATCACATTTTCAATTAAATATATAAAAAGGATAATAAAATAAAAAGGATAACGGTATCCGTCCTATTGATGTTGGTTCTACATTTCGACGCTTAACTTCAAAATTAGCTTGCAGGCACATAATCTTAAACTTTAAGACAAAATTTCAACCTACTCAACTAGGCTTTGGCGCCAAAGGCTGTGAGGCGGCGGTACATTCGGTGCGTACTTTCTTAACTAATTCCGATGCAGATGTTCTTCTGAAGGTTGATCTTAGAAATGCTTTCAACTCTATTGATAGGATAACCCTGCTGAAAGAAGTGGCTAACAATACCCCCGAAATATATCATTACGTTTGGCAATGTTACAGTCAAAATTCAAACTTGTTTTATCAAAACCATATTATTGAGTCTGCTGTCGGTGTTCAGCAGGGTGATCCATTAGGTCCAGCTCTTTTCAGTTTGGGAATTCAACCTATTATTTCAAATTTAAAATCCAAGCTGAATGTCTGGTATCTGGACGACGGTACACTGGGAGGTAAAGCAGATGACGTCCTCAATGATCTTACTCATATTTTTCAAAATTTTAAAAATATTGGTCTTGAACCAAATACAAATAAATGTGAAATATTTATTTCTAATAATTTATCTAATTCTAAAAGAGATACCTTAATTCAAAATTTCAATCAGATTTCTCCAGGAATAAAAACTGTCAATTCGGAATCGCTTTACCTGCTTGGTGCTCCGTTGTTTTTCGATAGTATTAAACCTGTTTTAAAAAACAAAATTTGATCAATTTTTAAATCACGTTGATAAATTATATATTTTAAACCCCCATATTGCCCTTACTATTTTAAAATATTGTGTCCTTGTACCTAAATTTACATACTTGTTACGCTCAAGTCCAGTCTGGAAATGTTCGGATATTTTAAAAGATATCGATAATAGTCTTAAAATTACTTTAGAAAACATTCTAAATTTGAGATTAAATGCAATAGCCTGGAATCAAGCCACTTTACCTATCAAATTTGGTGGAATTGGTATAAGAAATATTTCTAGCGTCGCATTGCCTGCTTTCCTTGCTTCCGTGCATAGTGTTAATGACCTATGTAACACAATTTTAAATAATAAAGTAGACCTATGCTTTGCTGCGGAGGCAAAGCAAATATGGCTAACGCTGTGTCCCGGCGAAAATGTCCCACTGGAAGTTAACCAACAAAAACAGTGGGATATTCCGTTGGTACGGAGTGTCCACAAAAATTTATTTCAAAATTTCCATATTCAACAAGATCAGGCTCGCCTTCTAGCTGTTTCGACTAAGGAATCTAGCCACTGGTTACATGCTCTACCATCAAGTAATCTCGGCACATTGCTTGATGGGGAGAGCTTGCGCATCGCCGTAGGAATCCGGCTGGGAGTGGCTATTTGTCAACCTCACCAGTGCCCCTGTGGTAGCAGCGTCGATGAGTTTGGGCTCCACGGACTTTCATGCCAAAAAAAGTGCAGGTAGGTTTTCCCGTCACGGTTCTTTGAACGAAATCATCCGAAGGGCTCTTGTCTCTATAAATATCCCCTCGGTTTTAGAGCCTTGCGGGATATTTAGAGACGATGGCAGGAGACCCGACGGTATGACTTTGGTCCCTTGGGAGAGAGGTAAAGCCCTAGTGTGGGATGCTACTTGCGTTGACACTTTGGCGGCCTCTCATCTCAAGGGTACCTGTTGTAGAGCCGGGGCGGCATCAGAGGCAGCCGAATTTAGTAAATGGCGCAAATATGAGTCTTTGAGAAATGACTACATATTTGTGCCGTTTGCTGTAGAGACTATCGGTCCGTGGGGTCCACGTGCAATGAAGTTTCTAAAGGAACTGTATCCACGACTGGTCGTCGCTGCTGGTGATAAGAGGGCTGGTTCTTTCCTCGCTCAAAGGCTAAGTATAGCTATTCAGCGAGGAAACGCAGCCAGCGTTCTTGGCACTATACCACGGGGAGCAGGTCTTTTTGAAGATTTAAATTTTTAGTTTTAGGTTTTCTATATTATAGTTTCTTCTTTTATATTGTATATATAATTAGTTTTAATTGTAAATATTATAATTTTAATTATTATTTTAGTTAAGTTATTTATTATAATGTTAAATATTATATTAATGAATATTACGTTTTAAATAAAGGTTGTGATTACCAAAACAAATAAAAAAATTAAATATTGTAGATGATGAGGATAACATTGCCATTTCAGTAGTCAGATGCGCTGCACATACCCTACAACTGGCAATGCAAGATGCCTGCAATGATAATATCATACAAAGCGTTATAATCAGTGCCCGAGATATAATAAAACGGCTTAGAACACCAACATTCTCTATAATTTTGAGAGAAAAAAGGAAGAAGAAACCTTCATTAGATTGCTCCACGAGATGGCATTCTACCATAGATATGGTAGAAAGTATTTTAAACTTAAAGGATACATGTGCAACAAGTGAACTCCTGTATTTACCTGATGAGACCTGGAATGATTTAGATTTATTTTTAAAATCTATGCTTCCAGGAAAGAAGCTTACTAAAATTTTGCAAAAACAACAGCTTACAATGGGTGATTTTTATATCGAATGGATGAAATGTCAATTTGA